ACATAACTGGAAATAGGGAGAAAGATGGGAGGCGGCAGCTGGGATTTAGCAAAGTTAGGGACGCCCTAGGGTTTCTAATGGATGGCTAAGATGGTTTTGGGGTGATCCTATGGCTAAAAATAAAAAGAGAGGGTGCCCAATATTTTGTAGGGCTGAGATTTGGGCACCTAGAAATGGAGGGTGTAGATTTGAACATTTAGGATTGAGGGATTAAGATTAAAAGAATAGGTGGTGCCCTACATTGAATGGTTGGGATATATGATGAAGGGAGTGGCTGAGATTTAATGGTGGGGAGCGGAATGGTGAGGATTAACAGAATAGGTGGTAACCTAGGGTTTAAAAGCTATAAAGAAGAGCCCTAAAATGAGTGGTTGAGATTAAAAGTGGTGGAGGGTGGAGATTAAACACCTAGGGATGGCAAGGGTTTGCTAAGAGTGAAAATATTATGTTAAAAAGGCTCCCTAGGGCTTGCTAAGGAAAGTGGAGCATGGTAATACAATAGGATGGGCGCCAACTGGGTTTAGCAGATAGGAGGCACCTTTCTGTTTTCAGTTTTTTACAAAAACACCCCCTCTCTCAGCTGGTCTTCACACCAGCTTCCCAAAAACTGCATTTTAGTTTAGAAAACTTCCCAGTTTTCTACATAATTTGCACAGTGACCCTGAGAGGTCACATAATTGATTTTAATTGGGAAAATGACACATTTTGGCTTTTTTAAGGTCGAAAGTACCTCTGAATTGATGCCCTTAAGGCATCAAAATGTAGAGTTATTACGCGCCATGGGACGAATGTGAACTAATATTCAAAGATCATGATGGGTATAGGATAACAATACACGCCAACAATGAAGGGAAAATGCTTCAAAGATGACTTACAGAGACATTCGAACATGTTAGCCGATCACAAATCTTAACACATGGCTACAGGAGGACCCATGAAATGGTCTACCCGACACGTGCTATGTGAGAATCCTCAATAAAAGGAAACTCTATCCCTAGAGGGTCTTGCTAGACACATGGTGAAACCTTACTAGAGTTCACTTGATAACTGATGTAAGGATAAAGGCCCTCTTCCCTAATAGGGAAATGTCACTTTTGAGATATTCTCCTAATAGCCTCATGATCCCATCTATAAAAGGATAACAACTCTCCCCGCAGACACTACCACACAACTTTAACTCTAGGGTCTCTTGATGCATCGCTCCCTCTTCTTCCCACTTCCCATCTTTTCCTCACTGTCTCTTTAGGTCTTCGGAGCTTAACTAACCACCTATCGAAATCCATGATGATTACACTACTATCTTTGGAAATGAGTGCATTTTTTTTCATTTTTACTTGTCTTTTTTATATTTGAAAAATGAAAAAAAAAAGACGCAATGAGGGGGAAACCATGCCATTAAATGACTTTGCACATGTAAAGATTTGAGTTTGTGTGTGGCTGATGTATAAAAACTTTGAATGGAAGAGCACCTCGGCACACACCAAGGTGACTATAGGAGATAATGGACCTTCACTCTAGTTAAGGTTGGCAATCTTGACACGAACCCATTTGACCCACCCAACCCATCCATACCCACCCAATTTATTGGTGGGTCAATATGGGTCGAGTAACGCATCAGGGTCAGTGGAAAAGGGTCAGGGTGGATTGGGTCGATGGTACCCATTAGGGCCAAGATGGGTTGGGTCAATGTCAACTCTATCTATACTTGCCAAATCTCAAAAAAAAAAAAAAAATCAGTTAAAGTGATTCAAACTCAGGCCTCCTAGTGTGGCCAAACCTCGTTACATTTCCAAACCACCATGCCACATTTCATTTTGGGATTAAAACTGAAATAGAATAGATTTTATTATCTTTCATATTCACATGCAATTTTATAAAGATTTTATGAAAAGGAGTTTTACGAAAGCACTTTCACAAAAGTACTTTTACATGAAAGCACTTTTATAAAAGTACTTTTACATAAAAACACTTTTATAAAAGTACGTTTACACAAAAGCACTTTTATAAAAGTATGTTTACAAAAAAGAACTTCACTTTTACACGAAAGCACTTTTATGAAAGCACAAAAGCACTTTTATAAAAGTGCTTTTGTGAAAGCACTTTTACAAAAATACTTTTACACGAAAGCACTTTTATTAAAGTACTTTTACAAAAACACTTTTATGAAAGCATAAAAGCACTTTTACAAAAGTACTTTTACACCACTTTTATGAAAGCACAAAAGCACTTTTATAAAATTTCTTTTATGAAAGTACTTTTATGAAACCACTTTTATAGAAGTACTTTTATAGAAGTACTTTCATAAAAGTACTTTTGTGAAAGCACTTATAAAAATTATGCATTTTTTTGCATTTTCTGTAATTTCTGTTATTTTCTGCATTTTCTGTAATTTTTTGGTATTTTCTGCATGTTTGGTATTTTTTCTACATTTTCTATTTTTTTGTATTTTCTGCATTTTCTACATTTTTTTGTGCTTTTCTGCATATTTTCTTATTTTTTCTGCAAAAGTCCTGAATTTTCTATAATTTTTTAGTTTTTTTTGCATTTTTCATAATTTTTTGGTATTTTATTTTGTATTTTCTACAATTTTTTGGTTTTTTTTTGCATTTTTTGATATACGGGTTGACTTGACTCTTTTTTGTCACACGGCAGTCTTGAGAGAGATTATCCTCTCAAAATTTATTATTTTGGGTATACGGGTCATCCCGACTCATTTTTGTATTTATAAGTGATAGTAGGTGGGTTAGTATGGGTGAGGGTGATTAAGGAGGTCAATATGGGTGCGTTAGGTGGGTTATGACCCTTTAATAAGGACTTATGATGGGTCATGATGGGTTTAGTGGGTCAATATGGGTGGGTTGGTATTCAACCTGTACCCAACCCAACCATTTTCCACCCTTAACTCCAATCTCCCCTAATATTACCCAATACCTAGCATAAATATTTGGATTGGTTTTGGCCTATATGCTAGTATGTCTCTTCACCTACTTTATAAAAATATATTTTAGGTGCTCTATGTGCAAGTAAAGGTAAAAGTATAAATTTGACATCATAAATTCAATTTATTATGCTCAATTTAGAAAGAGTACAAATACAAATACATACAAAATAATACAAAATACAAGATTTTGCACCTTACATACTCCTTCCAAATTGAGCCTTGAAGGAGTACAAATACAAATTTGTACAGTGCAAATACATACAAAATAATACAAAATAGAAGGTTTTGCACTCTACATATTTATATTTGTACTCCTTCCAAACGGAGCCTTACAAATAGATACAAAATAACACAAAATGCAAGGTTTTGTGCTCTACATATTTGTATTTGTACTCCTTAGGTGCATCAAAACAAAGCAAGTATTCACTTTATAACATTAAAGATATATTTATGCCATAGGCCCGGAACCTTAGAACCTAGCCTAGCATAGGCCCATGCTTATATTTCAGGCCTAGGATCCAGCCTAGACAAGCCCAAGCCAGAACTGCTTTGAGTTAAACTTGACATAATCCAACACTCCCACCCATGATCACCCCTACTCAGCCTCAGTTTCCCAGCTCTATTTTGAATGAAAGTTGACATTGGGTTTATAATGACAATTGAAAATTGAAAAATGGAATTTGAAGACAAATGGAAATGAATTGAAGAATTCAACTTACGAATTCACTAGAATTATATGACTGAGCACTTTATAATAATTTAAACTAGTGAATGACCCCATACTAAGTACGGGGAATCAGTAATATTAAATTTATATTATGAAATTAATAATGTTAAATTTATATTTATTAATATTTAAATAATTATTAAAATTTCAGGAAATATTTATTTCAAAAAATAGTTTTTCAATAATTATTAGAATATGGATAGTTTTCTATTGTTATGATACGTAGAGGGTTAATGATTAATTGAGATTGATAGAATGTAGGCAAGATAACCACTTTTGCATTTTCTGCATTTTTTTAAGGAATTGATTGAAATTGATGGTAATGGGTTGTGAGCTTTAGCATCAACTTCTCAGAAAATGTCACATGTCTAGTTTTCCAAAAAAATGATAAGGCTGTGTGTCCGAATGGGTGGATGGCTGTAGCCTGGTAATGGGCTATGGACTTTAGCAGGAATTTTTCAAAAATGGTCACTTGTCTAACTTTTTAGAAAATGAGAAGGCCACTTGTCTGAATGATAATAATAAGCTGTGGGCTTTAACAAGAAGTTCTCAAAAAAATGCCATATGTCTAAATTTGAAAAAATCAATGATGGGGTTATAGCCTAAAAGACTTCCTTTATATATATATATTAGATGACAAATTCTTTTTAGCAGTTTTCAAGAATCACTTGAATGACGGGAATTGGTTAATATCTTGGTCAATTGTACATACAAATACCAAAATACCAAATGGGCAATTTCATAATTGTTCATTCACTATTGACACTGCCAAGGGGAAACCGCCCAAAAAGAAAAGAAAGTAAAACAGGCAATCAAGTGCTCGATCCCCCAAAGTAACAAATAGCCTATTGCACATTTTTCATGTATACACTAATAACTGCACAGTCCACTACCTTGGATGACCTAGTGGTGATGGTAGGATTTGATCACATACATTGACTTAACATGAGGCAGACTGAGCCCGTGTCTCCTAGTCTCCCCATGGATTAGATAGTTAATTTTGAAAATAATTTTACCATTGCCCTTTTTTTCTACTACAAGTAGTCATGGTAGTAAGCAAGGCTTCTAACGCAACCCTATGCACCACATCTGCTTTAGTCCTGATCAGCATATGGAACAATGGAAGTGACTGAGGGATCAGGAATGCTGATGCCATAAAAGAGTTGCTTATCCTCGAAACAATTTCGCGTCAATTGTCAACTATCGACCCATGTCAAGAACACAACACGTTTTAAAGAGAATAATCCTCCAGAATTTCTCATACCAAAGAAAACGATCCCCTTGCCTAGCTGACAAATAGCAGCCAGGATTCAGATATTGAAGAATTGAAAATAAAAGCTTTTAAGAACACCGGGCACTAAAAAAAGGAACAATAACTATACACCTGTATAAATGTGTTATCCTGTATAAAACAATACGCGGACAACAAATTTTAATTCAAAAGAAGACACCAAGTCACCAACACCCCATAGACCTGCCTGAGGCCAGTAGACATTCCCATAACCATCGGAGGGAACACCCCCTTCCAGACCTCTCGAGGAAGATTCTGCAGTTCTTGGCTTGTTGCAGATTCTGTGGGATGTGGGAACACTTTGAAAGTAGGGAACCAGGCTGAAATTCCAACTTATTACATATGTACAGACATGAGCTGATGCTTCTAGGTTCCCACAAATACGGATGGAGGATGAATTTCTGCCGGAGGACACCCTACGCCTTGCTCTTGTTCATTAGAGTAGGAGTGACTGTGACAACCCCAATAAGGAACATGGTAGCAATAGCCTGGAAGTCGTAGAGGTCACCAAGTGATTGCAAATCTCCAAGAGCTATTCCAGCCTGCACAGAAGCAAAGTTGCCAAACTCTTTAGAATCAACTTTGTTAGAATGAATAATGTACATATTGGCTATGACAAAACCAGTCAATGTTTCAACCCATGCATCAATGCCAGGAGGTTCGATCATTGAACTATCTTTGGCTGCACATGTCTACAAAAAGATGCCCAGTTCTAATATATAAACCAAAATCAAACTGGAATTGCAAGCATACGTGTAGCCAAAAGAAGAACCTCCGTTGACAAAACCCCACCAGGAGAAGTACTACAATTGAACATTAAGGCCTGATGCAGCGATCAACTGATCATCTATATATTGTGAGGTGGCACCACGATGAAGTGCTTAGCACAACCACCATATCATCACCTTTTACTAATCAATTAGAAAATCCAAATGCCAAATGATATAAAGGATAGAAAATTCTCAAAGTTAAATACCCTGACAGTGACGTAAGCAGCTGGAATGAGTCCAATGAAGGTTGCGAGGAAGAATATATGGTATGGAACATCAACTATTGGTGAAGCTACATTGATGAATGTGTTAGGCAAAGTAGGTGTCACTCTTAGGAAAAGCATATAGTTAAGTAGCCTCTCTCTTCTTTTAGCTACCTGAGAGATTAAACAGGAAAGAGCATAACCCTTGTTATTTTGTAACACTCGTGAAGCACTGACAGCAGAAAGGTTTGATAAATTTTCACCTGAGCTTGGAAGAAACTCAATTTGTCTGGCCACAGAGAGAAGACAAGGGGCCTCCCTATCAATTTTGATAGGAAATAGCATGAAGAAGCGCCAGCAGTGGCAGTGAAGACAACCAAAGTCACACCTTTGAAGACTCCAAAAAGGGCTCCAGCAAGCAAAGACATGAAAATAGTTCCTGGAATCATAAACGTCTGCATGAAGATGTAGACCATGCAATAGCCCACTAGAACCTGTATGGTATAATCACTTGTGTAATTCTCAAGGTGATCCCTACAAGTGTCAAAATGCAAAGTTGATTTATCAAGTCATGTTTGCACCCAATCATCAAGAGTTAGATATTTCAGACTATCCAAAGAACCCCAAGGTGAAGCAAAGCAGATAATTTGTTGGCCAAACAAAAATCTAAAGAGATATAACAAAGGAAGATAGAATGGTATCATAATTTCTTATAGTATCACTAATATAATTTCAAGCATCCTAATACCAGCATGGTATCATAGATCCCCCAAAAATAATAAAAACCATTTGGGAGAATTACCCCAACCTGTTTGACAGAAGCAACCATGGTTCAGGTATTGTCTTACTTTGGCTAAAAGGATTAGGAGATCACTACAACCAATCACATTTTTCCATGCCAGACTCTCTTACCATGTTCGATCAAAGATAATAATAATAAAAAAAAAAAAAAAAAACCTAGAATAACAGTAGATCTCATATAATGTAGCAATTGTTTGGTATAATGGATTTTCACCCTGATAAAATGACTTGATCAATCGTCCATTTGGAGAAACACGAGATAGAGGTAATACAAAAATAACCAAGTTCAAATTAAACTCCTGACTTGAATGGTAAACCAAACTATAACTGAAATTCTCAATAGAATCTAAAGGCAGAGAAGGGAAGTTGATCATTAATCACGATCTTAGTCTTCTTAGATACTGCATTTATGATTGTGCTTAACCAAAAAGGGAAAGAAATGTTGGCGCTCCTGTAGATAGAAGTCATAGAACCATGAAATTCCAGCATAAATCAAAATGAGAAACTATAAACCTTATTTTGCTATCAAATTCCACTAATTCGGTCTCTAATACTGTCGGGAAAAGAAAGAGGAAAAATACATCCGATAGCGATAACAAGTCAAATCGTTAAATAGAATATCTTAATATGAAATTCAAAAAATCCAAAAAAAGAAAATAGAAATTCATGAAATCGGAAAAACACGGAAAAAAGCCCTAATTTTTGCCCAGAAGTATAGAAATCCCAAACTAGCCAATAACCAAACATCTCACAAAAAGGCAATAAAATTACCTGAGAATCTGAATATCTTCCAGAGTCCTTGGCAACTTAAGGAAGCTGTAGTCAGAAGCCGGTAACGTCAAATAAACACCGAGAAGCCCTAAAAGAAAGCTAAGAACGACCCCAGACACAACCGCTATGTCCCAAAAGCTCAAAGGGAACCTCGATTTTCTGCTACAAATGGCGATTTCCGCTCTCTTCTCCATTCTCCTCGTTCTGATCTGAAACACGCTAACAATTTTTGCTTACCTTCTCTTCCTTCTAATTATTTACGCGTTTCAGCTCAGCTGCTTGAGGGGAAAGAGAGACGGAAAATCGAAACCCTAATTTTCTAGGATTGTTTCTTATCTTCTTCTGCTTTACCTTGTCTATCTCCTCCTTAACAAAAAAGAATATTAATTCCAACCAGCGTTAATGGAGGGAGGCCGAGGGAGAGACGGAGACGGTTTTTGTAGTTAAAAAACAACCGATATTAATTGATAAAATAAAATAAAAATAAAAATTATAGGGGAGAGAAAAGAATATCATTTGACACGTAAGCAGAGATTGCCACGTTGGCTCAAATCATCGCGAACAATCGTTGCCGTATGTAAACAGCAGCATGTGCTTTCCGCCGTGTATTCCGCCCTTCCACGCAATTCGGCGCTTATGGAAGGACATGATAATGAAATGGCGAGAATGCCCTCGTTTTGATTGTCTTAGGGTAAATTACAAAGACCCCTGTACTATGGGGTAAATTACAAACACCCCTGTAATTTGTTTTGCGACAAAGACCCCATTAACTATGACCGTGAGATAAAAGACCCTCTAGACTTTCGTTGAAATCCGCCATTGCATTATTTTTTAATCCCCATATCACGCTTGTAATAACTATTTCGGAGAAAAATAATGTTTATCTTCTCCGATCTCACGATACACGAACTACAACGGTGGTAGTTGTTGCAGCGGCAGCGAATTTTTGAAGTCCTCCCTCTCTCGCCCCCTCGATCTCTCTTCTTCCCCTTCCCCTTTCTCTCCCCAAAAGACCCTGTTTGTATAGCAAAAAGGTGGTCTTCTTCAACTCCTCACATACTGCCCGATTCACCGTGTAATGCAACTCGTGAGCTGAAACTAGCCCTCTTCTGAACACCATCCTCAATGAAGTAAGGTTGCTAATGGCAGGTGATATCGTTCCTAATAATTGCTGCTTCCCTAGGCTGATCACAATAACATTTTTCTGTGAATCACAAGTAACAAAGGCCCAACCATGACATATGTTATTACCAACCCAATTTTCCGCCAAGTTCATGGGGTAGCCAAAGTCGTCAGCCATAGCGAGCAATACCGTCTCCTAAGGATCACAAGGATAGGGCATTTTACTACAGAAACGATTGCTTGAGCCAAGATTAACCTCCACATTGGACTTGAACTGGGGCAATGGACCTTGAAACATATTGCTCGATAATGACACGTGAAGCAAGCTGGGCATCGACATCAAAGTTGATAAAAGGTGATTTGACCTGATCTTGTATCACGGGGACACATGGACATGACCTGGCATAAGTGACAATTCGCCGAGGCCCGGCCAAACGACTTGGAAGGTGGGACAGCTCGTCGAGAAGCAAGGCCTAGCTCACCCCGAACATGAGGGTGGAGCACCTCGAGCTCCCCCATTTAAAGGGACCCGAGCTCCTCCTAAGGGACTCCGAGCTCTCCCTTCCTAAGAAGGAAGCACCCCAACTTTTGGCTAAGTGTCCCGAGGGAGAAAATACCTCGGGACAGCACCATCGCGACTCATGTTCGTACTTGCTTAAGGCTCGCCTCCGGTGTGGGCACCTCGGTGTACCTCGGCACCGCGGTGCAAGGCAAACCTGCCCTAGGTGGTTCGGTGCACAGTAGTTCGGCAGACTACAGGGAGATCTGCCTGACATCCATACCTGCCGAAATCCGGAGGCAGTGCTCGGATCCCTTGCCAGGTAGCGTTCTGCCTGCTGTCTCTGAAAGGCATGGCACACCTGACAAGTCCGTACCCTGCAGTAGCAACCTGTAGCAGCAGCCTGCACGTGCCACCCCTGCCCTGGCGGTAACGGCTAGGGCAGTGGCAGTTACGCCTGATGTGACCGAGCTCCAGTATAAAAGGACCCCGACCCTCACGAAGCAAAGGTATTGAAACTAGCACTTTCAGCACTCCTACTCTCAGCTTTTTCCTTTGAGATTTCTCCAGAGTTCTAACTTAGCCATCGAAGTGTTCCCACCGGGAGAGCTCCCCGGGAACCCCTCATCTTCTTCTTCCTCTCAGGTGTCGTTCGCCACTGCTAGGAGCCAAGTCCCAGCTAGCTAGGAGTGCCCATATCGTGCGGCATCATTTGGTGTCGTCTATGGAAAACGCTTCAAAAGGCCTTACAAGCACCCAAAAAACTCATTAGCATTACAAGCACCTATGGCTTCCTCCAGCAACTCCGGGTGTCAGCACACCCCCGAGAAACAATCCCATCTGCCCACCGTCTGCATCAGGCAGTTCATCGTCCCCCTCGCTGTGGACGGGGTACCTAGTCTGAATGTGCCCCTGACGGTGGCACCCGTGACTGTTCCATTGCCCTCTACCATTGAAACAACCTTCGTTGAACCCACCATCCTCCCTCCGGTGGCCAGCCAAGGTCAGCTCAAAGACCTGATGCAGTTCATGCGAGCCATGCAGACCCAAATGCAACAGTTCCAGCAACTTCAGTTCCACCAGCAGCAAGTGTTGCACCAAGTGTCCCAATACCAGTATCAACAACAATTTCCTTCACTCCCTCCCCAACACCCGACTACACAACCAACCAAGCCTCATCGCCGCAATGAACTCCCTTCCCACTGAGGAGAGACCTCGGCGTCATCCCATGGAAGGAAGGAAAGACTCCCTACCCCCGCCTCACGTTCTACAGTCAAGTCAGGGGCTTCCCAGTCGGTCAGGCCAACATCACCTCAGCGTTATCAGTTCAAAACTCTGCTTGCAGAAAGCCGAATAGAAGTGCTAGCCGGCGACCTGGAACAAGGTCCCTCTGTTCGCAGTTTCCGACAGTCGTCCATGCCTCTCCCTGGGCCCATCGAGCTCAGTAACACCGAGGCCAGCAGCACCAACGCCGAGCCGGCCAAGAAGCAGCGAAGACGCTGCTGAGCTCGCCGAACCGCCACCCACAACCTACCCAAGCTCGGAGGCAAGGTAGAAGTAAGTTCGGGAGAGGTAAAAGCTACACCACTTCTCTCAGTTCCCTCCCCCCTGTCACCGGAGCTCCTTGTTGTCCCCATGCCAAGGGACTTCAAGCTCCCCCCGCTGGACAAGTACAATGGGTCCTTCGACCCCAACGACCATGTGGATGCCTTCTAGTCCCAAATGCATCTGGCTAGGGCAAGTGAGTCTTGCATGTGCGTGGCCTTCTCCACCACTTTCAAGGGAGTAGCCCGCACCTGGTACCAAAACCTCACGCTAGGTTCAATAAGGAGCTAGGCGCAGTTTGTGCAGGTCTTCACCTCCCACTTCGTCACCAGTAAAAGGTGCCCGAGGACCCAAGAAAGCCTCCTCAGCATAGTCCAGAGGGAAGGAGAGTCCATCCGGATCTACATCAACCGGTTTAATGACACTTGCCTGTAGATACCCGACCTGGACCCTGCAGTTCGGCTCACTGCGGCCAAGCGAGGCATCACCCACAAGGAGTTCAAATGGCACGTGGTTGTCAACCAACCCAAGACCATGACCGAGTTCCTCGAACTGGCAGATCGGTTCATAGGAACAGAGGAGGAGATCAACTAGAAGGGCGAACATGCCCTCGAAAAAAGAAAGAGAGAACCGGAGCCCCCAGCTCCAAGTGACAACAAGAAAAATAAGGACCAAGCTCGGAGGGCAAAGCCAATTCAGCCTTTTCGAGCTCCGGTAGCAGAAAGGGACTATACGCCCCTCAACACAAGGCGGGCCGAGATCCTCATGGCGATCAAGGATGCCCCATATGTGAAGTGGCCACCTCGGCTCAAGGCCGATCCCAGTGTTAGGAATAAAAACTTGTACTGTAGTTTTCATAGAGATCACGGTCATGGTACCGAAAATTGTAAGAACCTCCACGACGAGATAGAAGAACCTATCCGTCGCGGATATTTGAGAAATTTTGTACAGCATAATAATAATAATAATAAAGAAGGTCGGCACGAGGAGCAAAGCAAAGAGGCTCCCGAGTCCAGTAGACAAGCCGAACAGCCACAGAGGAAGCCTCCCGACGAGAGATCAGTTCGGGGTACCATCCATGTGATTGTCGGAGGATCAATTGTCGCGGGCTACACTTCAGCTGCAGCTCGGTCATCAGCCCGCGAGGCCGCCAGGGAAGAGCTTAACCCCCCGAAGCGGCCAAAGATAGAGGAACCGATCTTCTTCACTGAAGACGATGCACGAGGGGTCTATTATCCCCATGATGACGCGCTAGTCATAAAGATTAAGATCAACGACTTCGAGGTCAAGCGCGTCCTTGTCGACTCGGGCAACTCGGCGGACATTCTCTTCAAGGCAGCTTTTGATCAGCTTCAACTCTCGGAAAACAATCTGAAGCCCACGAACACTCCACTGGTGGGATTCAACGGCGAGGAGGTCAGGCCTCTAGGGAAAGTCACTATACCAGTGGAGGTCGGTACCTGGCCCAGTATGGTAAGGCTCAATCAGGAGTTCCTGGTAGTCGTGACCCCCTCCCAGTACAACGCAATAGTAGGTCGGCCCATCACCCATGCCTTACGAGCAATAGTCTCCACCTACCACCTGGCGATGAAGTTCCCTACTGATTTTGGAGTTGGAGTGACACGAGGTGATCAGTTCGAGTCCCGCAAGTGCTATGTAGCCGCCCTCAAAGGAAAGGCCAAGGTAGCAGACGAGGAGACCATCCCTATCCCAGCCTCGACAGAAGATCCATCTCGGGTACTCCATATCGACACTTCTGTGGAGGAGCCCCTGCGGTCTCAACTGGTAAGTTTCTCACTTAAAAATTTAGATATTTTTGCATGGTCAGCGGCAGAAATGCCTGGCATAGACCCCAACATTATAACTCATAGACTCAACACTGATCCTGTAGTTAGGCTCGTTAGACGGAAGAAACGCAACCTAGCCCCAGAGTGATGGAGGGCAGTCGACGAGGAGGTCGGGAAACTCCTTGCAGCCAATTTCATCAGGGAAGTCCATTACCCGAGCTGGGTGGCCAACCCCGTTCTGGTAAAAAAGGCTAACGGTAAGTGGCGCATGTGCATCGACTACACCGACCTAAACCGAGCTTGCCCAAAGGACTGCTTCCCACTTACCAGGATCGACCGTCTAGTGGAGGTTTTGTAAATAAACTGTTTGAGTCGCTAATCGGCAAAAAAAGTAGTGTTATGTAGACGACATGGTCGTCAAAACCCAATTTTCACATGAGTTAATACAAGATTTACATTCGGTTTTTGAAATTTTG